TTTTTCACTCCTCAAGTACGTATTTTCTTTGGATCTTTCCTCTCCACGTTTTCAAGATTTGGCTTAACCATGGGCAATCAAGTCCAAAGTGAAGAAACGATGGATGATCAAGCTCAAGCGGGCGCACGCTCTTCACCACCAGCTCCTGGCGGTCAGAACCTTGACGATACAAGAATGAGAGAGCTTATCGCCCAGTGCTATGAGGAAGGTAACATTCCTCGGGAAGTTTCATGTCAGAGCATCGAGGTGGAAGGCAGAGAAGCCATTTTTGTCGGGAACCCTTCTTTTGACCAGATCAAGGTGGCCTGAGTCAGGGAAATAACGGTTATAATCGTTTTCAAGGAGGCGGCAAGGGACCTGCCAAGGAAAGTGAAAGCTGACCCTATCAGGGCGTACAAAAATAGATGGGCAAGGGATGGTATTTTCAAACAAGAAATTCATCGAGGAACCATCGGATTTAAAGGGTCAAACGTGCTGGCTTATGTGGCCAGGGATAGGGTGGTACCTGCATGGCTCATATAAAAAGCAAAGGATGAGGTATTGCTGGTTGCCTCTTTGTATTCTATGAGCTTTCGGCCTTGGATGTCTAGATTAGAATGGAGGGACTTCACGAAAATCGAGATGCAATGTACTTTCTGGGTTATGGGTTTGACAGTTGTTTCGAGAATCATTGGCACTGGGATCAAAGATTTCCCTCCGATGAGAGATAGATCAATGCCTGAACTCAAGTATGACGTGGACCCGAAGTTCAGAGAACGAATGGTTGACAGGATATGGGTGAGAACAGACAGTGGTGACTTGAGAGAGCTCAAGATGGTTTCGTCTTCGACACCATGGCGCCGGAACTGCAGGGGCTTTTTCCATGACGAAGAAGAGTATACCAGGAAGTGCCAGGAACATAGTTGAAGACGAGAACAACTAAGGAAGAAGATGGAATGGTCAACCGAATGTTGTCACCGTTGGCGGTATGGACTTTTATTCCAATGACAATCGGTTTGCAGAAGGAAGAACAAGATCTTCTAGACCGCAAAGCAGACAAGCAGCTCCCTCTGATACGTATCAAGGAAGCTTAGGGCCAAGAGGCTCGACATTTTTGCAACACGAAAGCTCGGAGCTCAGATTCAGAGGTATTCCAGCAAGCCAACACCAAGGGCGAGGCTTTCAGCCATACCAGGGAGAGAGAGCAAGAGAGAACCCACTCTTCTCACCCAACCCTCGATACCCAGGCGAGCTGCTTCGAATGGAGAGGAACAATACAGGTAACTGCAATTTTAGGCGATCGGTGCAACCAAGGCGCCCGGGTTCAACAAAGAGATATTCGCCTGGCGTTGCCCAACCCTTTTTTTTTTTTTTTTTTTTTTTTTTGCGTTGACCAACCTAGAACAAACTCTGAGGGGTCTAGAATTACTATGGGGTGGAGTCTGTGGACTTTGCCTGTCGGGAGCTCGAGGAAAATTCGGGAGACCATAGAGCACATCTTCCTTCAATGTCCTGGGCCAAAATGGTTATGGAGATGGTGAAGAATCTGGAACCATGTCATCATCTCCCTGCCATGGCCGTGGGATTAAAAGGCACTCTTGTGTGAAACGTGGAACCCACCTCAAACGGATAATTTGTCTCAATTGTTTTATATTATAGGAAGGAGAGGCGTCCTATGGGCACTTTGGCGACGAAGATGGACGTATGAAATGGAAGGAGCCGGATTTGAAGGCCCGCATCTAACAGATTCAATCAAGCACCATATCCAAACTGATATCACAACACAATGGGACAGAGTAAAAGAGAAAATTAAACATTTATTCACAAAGTCAGAAATCCTTCACCACATTCAAAAATTCAGCGACGGCTGGCTTGGGGGGACCCAGGGGGGAAACTGGGAGAAATAGAGTGGAAAGGGTTAAGGGGGATAACCGGGGGAGTCAAGTCGGGGTCCCGGATATCGTGAAGGACTACCGCTTGGTGTTCTGTGATTGAACATCCGTGGACCCATCCTTTCCTCTTCGCCCCCCCTGTCTGATTCTCCGGACTTTTTCCCTGCATCATACTTGAACCGCTAGTACACGGCCCCAGCCTTGCAGAAAGTTTTTTGTCACCACAGGCAAAACTCCGAGGCGCTGCACGGCCAGGCCCGCCGTTGAAAAGAAAAAAAACAGCCGCCTCTGAAGTGGTGCGGGTTTCACGCTGACACCCGCTGGGCGATATGTGGTCTGGTCCCTTTGAGTTGGTATGGTTTGGAGTGAGCAGTTTCTCTCAAACTTAGGATGTAATTTCAGCTAGTTCATGCCACCAAACTGTAAATAGTACCAGTCCTTAACTGTTTTTATCTGGCGCCCTTCTATTGAGGGTGAAGAGGTACAGGTGGCAATGGAAACTCTCAAAGCTCAGAGACCAGTGGTCATCACGATCATTATCATTTTCCGCATTATTATTACAACCAACATCACCAACCTATAGCATCAGAGCATCAATAGCTGTAAATGTGGGACGCTGGGCCCGGTTCCTAACATGTGCTGTACCATTATCCTTTCATTGTAATTCAAGGGACGCTGGACCCATTTTCCAGCAAGGTGCTGGACACACACACACACACACACACACACACACACACACACACACACACACGTTTCTCTTTCAGGGGCATTACCAACTCTGGGCGACGTGGTGAGTCCTTGGCCATCAGTCAAACGCATCCTGGGCAGACTGCCGGGGTTAAACCCTATCGATGAGTCGGTGAAAGTCTAAATTGTCATCTTTCGCAGCTTTGTGTGCTTTTGGGTCATCTTCCCTCCCGCCTCTCCGAGCCCTCCAGCTGATGTGTTGCCTCACTGCTTTTTGTCTTGCTGTGTCTCGCCTGACGTAGTTGATTTTTCCTCTCCGTTTACTTCCTCCCCTGTGTCAGGATTGCATAATTTATGCACCTGCTTCCTTCCTTGGATGTGTTGCTCCAAAATACTTCGCCTCATAGTCTTTGTTCGACACTTGTCATGTCCACGGAAGAGCAATGCGATATAGTTGTCCTCTAGTCATTGCACATGGGCGGGCTTCAATCGCAAGAGGGTCGTTCGAATTGCAACTGCAACTGTAGTGCGCACTGCCGCTATTAGGTCAATTCCAAGTTCTTGCATATTCCTTGTGATCGTTGATCGCAGTGCATCTATGGTGGACTGGAGCTAACAAACACACACACAGAGGCACAGATGCACACACACAGGCACGCACACACTCCCTTGTTTCAGGCCCATCATCATTGTCGAGCTCTCTCCTTCCATTACAACCTGTTCCCCTCCCTCCGCAGTGAGACCCTCTTCCTGCCTTGCAATCTCTTCTTCCCCTTTAGTCCGCTCTGCTCCCCCTCTACACGACCCGCATTCCTCTCCCTGTTGCGTTGGCGTTCTTTCCACTGCACTTCATCGGTTCCCACATCCTCGCCCCGATTGGCTGGCATTCCCACCTCCTCTCCATCCCACAACATCCTGATCGGCCACTTCCCGTCCACAGTCATCGCACCCGAACCGGACCGGCCAGATCCTGACGCTCTAATCTTCCTGATCCTGCATCCTCACCCTCCCCATTAACCCTCTCCTGCTACTCCAACCCCTCAAGATTTCGATGGCGTACTACTCTTGCCTGCCTGACATTCTGCATTCATGGCATGATCCCCACTTATACTCCTTCCAATAGCGGCCATCCACAAATCCTGCCCCACAAATACCCCTGCCTCGTGGCATTCATGGCATGATCCCTGCCTACCCCTCCTGATAGGGGTCATGCACAAGTCCTGCCCCACAAAAAATGAAGTTGCAGCCTTGAACTAATGGACGGATGGAGGGGAAGAGAGGGAAGGAGGGATCTAGAATGTATGTGTCTGTGGGGGGCGGCGGGGGGGGAAGAGGGCGTGAACGCGCGCGCGCGCAAGAG